GCTTGTAGAACATTACATGTAATCCATTTCTGTATTAACCGGAAAATACCGGCAAATGTTGTCTGCTTCACCTCGAAAGAGGAAAATCTCATTATTAATGTTTTTAGCACGAAATTCTTCTCATTATATCATGGATTGATGAAAACGAATATCTATTGGACCCTGTGGAACATTTAAATGTATGTAAACACGAAATTCTTTTTCAAAATCCGAACTTTGAAAATTTGATCGTCAGCATCGGGAAAATCAGCTATGGGCAGTTAGAGCTTACACGGCGCCTGTCAAAAGTATCTCGCCGTGAAAACCTCTAAAACTGTTTGAGTAAATTAATCACGTGACACCCTGCCGTTTTGGTAAAGGCGAAATATGGCATTCGAGACGAATGTTGTTCGAGGAAGGCGGTAATATAACAAACCATTAACGTTCGAATTTACAGGATATGTGTAAAATAAGGTAATAGGAAGTCAATTTATTATATGCTGAAGAAAATCAGATGAGATTCATTGACAATACTACGAAGAAACAGACCGCCATATTTACGAGTCTCATGTTCTGAATTACACAGACATGACACGACTCGGTACGAGAAGACGTTTAAGAAGAAAACGCATCATATAAATAGTTACCGGAGACTTGAATCTTCATAGTTATATGTCATATTCATTTGTATTTCATTGTAGAACGGTTATTATAGCTGGAGATGTCGACAGACGACCAAGCCACCATCTTCGCAAACATCGGAACTCTTAGTGCCGAAGGGTCGAAACTAATACCCAAATGTAAACCCGGCAACGGAAACGGACATTTCATTGGCCGGAATTCGAAATTTTGCCGGGAAGGTAGCGTGCCATTACTCCAAAATAGCATAAAAGGCGAGAACGCCGTCGATTTCAACGTCATTCTATCATATATCTCATGCAGATAGTTTCTGACCAAGGTATCAGAATGGATATTGAACTGGTTAGCCTTTTAGGCCTATACATCCAAATAATGATCCATTTACTCAAACTTGTATATTATCTACTAATCAATAGATACCCAGGATTTATTGACATTGTGTCCAGTTTCTAGATTTTATCCAATGACGAGTAAAAATTACCCAATGTCGGATAAATCCTATGAAGTAATGTAATCTGTTCAAATTATCAGCTTAAGTAATTTCTTCAGATATTATGTCAAACTTTGTGGTAAATTAATACCCTAATAATTGAGTTCGGGTACATATTTGATTTCACTCTAGTTTCGAGTAAATCTGACCCCGAGTTCGGGATGATTGTGTATCTGATAACTGTTATACATATTAACTATATACTGTAATATACAGTTACATTAAGTTAAATAAGGAACCTTCATCCATCGCTTGTGAAAAACTGGTACTTCATAAACTTTCCGTCCACGTGGGTAACGTGAGTACTACTCATCATAGAACTTTGTCTACGCCCCGTCAAAACCCAACCACTAATATTTATCGTGAAGCAAAAACATTCTTAATACTATCAATTTTACTCTCTGGTGATGTATCGTCTAATCCTGGACCCATTAGATATCCTTGTGGAACTTGCACGAAATCCGTACCTTCAAACCAGCAAGCCATTTTATGCGAGTGTTATGAAGTATGGTATCACAGGAAATGTCCAGACATACCAGAGCGTGAATATATTAGTCTGAGTATTTCACCATTGACAGACTAGTACTGCTGTGTTTGTTGCTCCCTTTTACAGGCTCATTTTTAATGACAGTGATGCAGATGACTCCGATGCAATACACATTATAAGTGATGATACGCAGAGTACGCTCCCCTTATATAGATCTCCGCGCTCGGTACATATCGGACGAGGATCCGGATGGCAACAACAGCTTTCAAGGCTTGTAGAAGTTGAGAGAGACATACAAGAAAAATATTATAGTGTGTTATATAAATATAAATAGTTTTAGAAACAAATCTTCCGAACTATGTTCCATTTTGTATGAAGGATTGTGTGATATTTTATTTATTGGCGAGTCTAAACTAGATGACACTTAAAGACAGTCGTGTTTCGATGTGCCGGGTTTTCGGTGCTTCAGGAAGGACCTAAATGCACACGGAGGAGGACTCATGGCCTACGTCGCGCTGACCTCCCTTCACGCAGACGCGATGATCTAGAGTTCGAAGATGTGGAATACAGAGGAAATGGGCTTTCATTGGCATGTGTTAGCCCCCATCTATGCAGGCTAATGTCTTTATGAACGATGCCAATTGATCTATTGATCGTGTGTCTACAATATATGACAATTTTATGAATTTAGGTGACTTGAACTTTGATTGTCATAATGAAAGTAAGGGTAAAACTATTTCTGACTTCTGTGATATGCTTAAACTCATTAGCAAATTTACAGAAGCTACATGAACAGAATAATTTTAAATCTGACTTATCAAATGTATCTTTTCATGTTGCATATATGTGTTTGATGATACCGAGGCTATTTACTGGGCTCATGATAAGCTAATAAGAGAAGTTGTTGATGCACATTTACCTGTTAAAGAGCGCAAACCTCGTGTAAATAAATCTCCTTTTTTAAACAGTAATCTTAGAAGGGCTGCCTTTATGAAAGCTATGTTACGAAATAAGTACAACAGCATCAAAACAGCTGCTTACTGGGTAGCCTACAGAAAGCAAAGAAATTATGTAGAGCAACTCCGTAGACAGTCTGTAAGGCTCTATTTTCAAGGACGATGTGGTGGAGGTCCAGCCTCTAAAGATGTTTGGCCTACTGTTAAGCCCTTTTAACTAACAAATGATTTAATGACCAGAAAATTATTTTAGAAGAAAACGAATACATTGTATCCAGACAGAGTGAAGTTTGTGATGTTTTAATGATTTTTTCTCTACAGTTGCTGATGATATTGGTAAAGATCTAGAGGGCGTGTATGGCAAGCCAACTTAACATTTATTCAAGGAGCAATGTCGATCCTGTATTTCATCGAATTAAATAAAATATCTTATATAGCATATGAGATATCTTACATACTATATAATATATCTTATATCGTATATAAGATAACTCATATAGTATATGAGATATCTTATATAGTATATGAGATACTTTATATAATACATAAGATATATTATATACGATATGAGATATCTTAAATAAAAATTAAATGAGATGCTATATAAGATAGCTTATATGATATATAATATATCTTATATCGTATATAAGATATCTCATTTAATTTTCTATATAAGATATCTTATATAATTAATGTCTCGTTACTAAATAAGATATCTTATATAGGAACGAGATTTTAACAAAATGTCGAAAATGAAGTCTCCCCGTCCGGAATATCTCGAGGATCTACGTAGGGACAGTAGGCTTGTTGTAAAAACACGTGTTCATGTCGCCGCCATTATGTCTGAGCCCACTTCAAGAGTGCGGGAAATGGCAGCCTCTGCTTTGGCCGCTATAAGAGAGACAAGGCGAGCTAGGCCTAGGGAAAATACAGCATTCGTACCATCCTATTCCGCCATTGCTCCCAATGCAATCCTGAATGTGCTCCGAATGATTCTCGAGGGAGAAATTAGTTTCTGGTTTTTAATGCCACGAAATCTCATTCTATATCAGATATCTTATATAGCAACGAGATTTCAATTATATAAGATTTTTTATATAGCTATATGAGATATCTTCTATCTTATATACTTATATAAGATATCTCATTTAATTTCTATATGAGATATCTCATATAGGATATAAGATATCTTATATATTATATAAGATATCTCATATACGATATAAGATATCTTATATACTATATGAGATATCTTATATACGATATAAGATATCTTATATACGATATAAGATATCTTATATACGATATACGATGTACTTTTGTACATTGACAAATACTAGAAAAATAAAGAGAAAAAAAAGTTATGGAACGAGCAATTCGTTTTATTGAAAATGATTATGTTTCCCCAGTCATTGATATTCTAAGAAGACACAAACTTGATTTTTTACATGTAAAACGTATGAAAGATATGGCATCTGAGGTTTTTTTTTAACTTTTACTTGATATTTCTCTATCAATTTTACAAAATCTTGTTGAGAGGAAAGAAGTTTTTTACAATCTTAGACAAGATAACATGGTTAAGATCCCAAGGGTGAACACCTCCACATATGGTAAGAGATCTTTCCGTTTTGCTGCTTCCCAGGTGTGGAACAGCCTGCCAAATGAACTTCGATTAGCTGAAAACATTTCGTGGGCTGTTTCGCACCTGAGACACTCAGGTCTGGTCATGTGCTATCTGAACACACCATATAGTGTGAGTTGTCCCCCTTTGGAATCAACCTACATGTATACTATTACAACTTTTTGACTTTCACTGTTGCTTTTGTTATCTAATTTGCTGATATACTTCAGTACTATACAGCCGGTGATATTTATTTTAGACGTGAGCTTCATTATTTAAAAAGATCATTACATTTTACGATATTATAATTATAGCTCTCTGTTTCAATCTATGACTTCATTGTCTCTTTTTAATTCACATTTTATTAGTGTATATCCTGTAAAATTTTACACTTTGCTACGTTAGCATATATGTACATTACACTATGATAGTGTCTTAACTTGTCTTTTGTAACACTTGTGTGACATACAAGTGTTCATTATTTAATTATTACTTTTATTTTTATTTTATTTTTATTTTGCCTAAACTGTGATTGCATATGTTCTACTGTATATTTGTAGCATATCTAAATTGAACTGTTGTCTTATTTATATATATATATATATATATATATATANTGTGTAATATCTATGTGTATAATCAACACACCGTTACACACGTATGACTACGTCATTTGTTAACATTGACAGGAATGAACGTGCCTGTTGTCTCTTGACTCTTCTTACAAAAGTATACTTACTTTCACTTTCGGTTTATGTGTAAAATCTAAGCAGGAAACAAAATTGAAAAATTCCTACTGGTAAGTACACGTTCCATTTACTCATAACGCACGTTTATATATAGTTTCGTGTATAATCAATACACCGTTACACACGTATGGCTATGGCAGGAATGAACGTGTCTGTTGTGTAAACAATATATATATATATATATGAACAATGTAAGCTGATATGTCAGTACGGGTACGACCACAGCTGTATACATACGTACACCTGCTTCTATATAACTCAACAGATAACAACTTCGTGAAGTCTGAGGTAAGGTTATTAACAATGTATACATGTTTTATAAGAACTATCTTAAACGGTAAGGTAATAAGTGATTCAACTTTAGTAAATTATAGATTGATTATGTGATAGTTAGCCATAGAAAGCGTAGGAACGTTCTTAACTTCCTGGTTTCGGTTTCAATCACGCCATTATTATCATTACATTTGACTTCCGCTTGGTAAATATAACGTGTGCAATTATATCATAGATACACTGTAGTACATATGGAAAATATCGATAATTGGAGTTTGCCGAAAGAAAAGATATCTCTAACAGTCTGATCTAGTTCTCTGATAAAGCTTCGCTAAACTAACTGACATTTAATGTCACTTGGTGATTTATAATATCGTGAGTCATGAATTAACCTTATGTTTTGCAATGTCATACTTCCATAAGTCCAACATCCAGTTCATCCTGTCAGAGAAATTTAATGATACTTCTTGGAACACAAACTACTGGTTATGATTCCTCATCCAGCCTTTTCCCCCACTGACACTATCCCTTTCCCTATCTCATTCTCTCTTCATTTCCATACGCATTTGAACATGATGGATATTTTCTCTTTCAGACCACCATATGATCCAATTCCTTGGCGACTGTTGCTAAAAATAGAGACTTATGGCCATGTCTCATCCAGTCAATCTATCGAATGATGGGTCAACTATTAGGACAACAAAAATGAAACAGAAGAAGGAGAAAGTAACTGAAACCGCGGCCGCCGAAATTCATGCATCAAATGATATACAGTATGCTGACTTTCCAGAGCTATTCACGTCTCCAATCCACGTCATTAGTATGAATGTAGGTCATCGTGTAAGGAAAGGGATAAGTGATGAAGGTAATGCACCCAGGAGAAAAAAACTTATTGCTGACGTCGTAATGTCTAACGAGCCTGACCTTCTCCTTTTTCAAGAATTCAAAACGAAAGGGATTACTTGGAAAGACACTCATTTACCTGATCACTATGTGTACACAGGCCACACGGAAGCCAGTATCATGTACGATACTAGACGTTTTCAACTTACAGAATTACCTGAAACAAAATTAAGTGAAGTGTCACAAGATTTCACTCCTTTAGCACGTAGTAGTATACAACTTTTGGAAACGAAGGGACCAGATAAATTCAAAGTTCTTGTTGTGTCATGGCACGGGTTGCATATGGCGGTGGACAAAGAAGAAAAGATGAAACAGTTTCAAGATTTGCAGATTTATTTGAAGAAGCTCTCTGAACGTGAAAATGCGGATATTCTTTTGGGTGGAGATTTCAATATCGAGATGTCCCTCATCAAAAGTTTTGTTTTACCTGAGTTCACTCTTTATGATTACACACCATCAGAGCGACGAAACGGAAAACTCATAGATTACTTCATGGCTTCTCCAAAGTTGACTCTCGCAGATGTAGGGTATATTGATCTTACCAAAACAAATGGTGCTAAAGATGCTTTTTCTGAAACAAAGGATGTAAAAGATGATCTTACTAAAACAGAGGGTGCAAAAGATGATCTTACTAAAACAGCGGGTGCAAAAGATGACAAAGAGAAGGATACAAAGACGCAGGATCCGTACAGATTGTTTGATCACGACCCAATCTCTGCAACTGTGGTCAGGAGAAAGGCGCTGGAGAAAGGGGATCCACTACCAAAGACATTAGAAACTGCCTTTTCTGGCATGACTTTAGACTCGAACAATTAAATCTGAAAAGAAATTCAATACCCTACAGGACTTTCATGAAAAAAGAAAAGAAAAATATTAACACGGCTACTCGATATTCTGATCTTGGAATAAGGTTTTGTACTATCGCTCTTACCGGCAGTGCTGTATGGTCTACGGTACTGTACTGTGATTCAGTATTTAAGAGAAAAAACTGTATATAAAAAACCACACTTTGTCGGGACAGGGATCCTAAATATCACATCAAGGAACTTACATAAGTTGTAACAACTTAAAGTGACGGTGCGAATCCATTCCTCCCTCATAATATGTTAATATGAAAGTTTTATCCATATTTACTAGTAGTATTCATGATGGAGACAGAAAAATGTGAAAACAGTACGCTTTGCAAATGGTGGAAGGAAGGAGATAATTAAGAAATCCACCATGTCATTTACCCCGAAAGAAAAGCTTGAATACGCCACATTTCAACGCAAAAGGGGAAGGATTAAAAGAAAAAAGAAAAAAGAAAGACAATCTTTATATTGTAACAATACAATAGTGTTCAAGAAATTGCAAGATGACATTTATTTCTCTAAAATTCTAATTGAATTTCACGAAACTGCACCATTGAGTCTGTTCTTGGAGATAATTTAGCCTAGTTACATAACTTATATAGCTTATTAATCGATTAAGAAATGTAGTCATTACTTTATACATCTGTAAGATACTATATTTATTCATTTCCTGGATAATTATCTATACAAAAATAATGTTTGAGAAACACTTTTGGAAACTTAGCACGATCTATTGTACTGCTGTGCATAGATACCAGATTGTACGGCTGTACTTTTGGAACTTTTGTTGTACATAATATTATTCTAGTAATTTATCATAATTAATAACTTATATATTGTCAAGCTACTGCACTGCTGTGCATATATATATATAGAAACCCAGTTGTACGGCTGTACATGGGAACATCTTTGGATTGTTTATATTTTTGCTTGACTTCTGATAATATATTATGTATATCCTTTCTCCATAACTTCTATTTATCATGAATATTGCTATATTAATTAGAGGCTATTGCACGGCTGAGAGTTTAAATTTTTTGCTTGACTGCAGATAATATATTATGTATACCTTTCATCATATAACTAGCGGAAAAACGAAACTGTGTATGCCTAAAATGTGTTATAAAAATTAATGTGTATGACGTAGAACAACAAGGTTTTTAGGGACAATTTATTTGTTATTTATTAACAGTTGCATTCCATTTTGCACGTTATGGAATCAATAAGTTCCGCTCAGGAGTGACGTAAACACAGCAGGGGTCAATACTGAGTTCACAAAGTTAATACCTCATATGTCCACTGTTTGCCTGAATGCATGCCTGGCAACGTCGACGCATGGAGCCTATTAGACGGTTCAAGAATGCTTGTGGGATGGCATTCCAGATCTGTACCAACGCTGCTGCCAAATCAGCCAACGTCACTGGTTGATTGGGTAAGGCCAGACGTGTTCAATGGGCGACAGATCGGGAGATACAACAAGCAGGCCAGGGCAACACGTCAACGTTCTGCTGGGCCAGAAAGTCCAAAGCAACACGAGCTGTGTGTGGACTGGCGTTGTCCTGCTGTAACGTAATGTGACGTTGCTGCCTTGCACGACTGGAACGACGTGGGTCCTGAGGATCTCGTCACGGTAACGAAGCGCGTTCAAATTCCCGTTAACAACCACCAGAGGCGTTCTCCCGTTGGCTGTGATGCCTCCCCAAATCATAACGCTGCCTCCGCCGAAAGAACGTCGTTGTACCACACACGCGTCACGGAAACGTTCTCCAACGCGACGATACACTCTGGAACGGCCGTCACTAATGTCCAGGTGGACTCGCGACTCGTCCGTTAACATAATGCCTCCCCAATCTCGTCGAGTAAATCCCAGATGCCTTCTAGATATGCACCAGTCCAGACGTGCTACACGATGACGTGGCAGAAGAACTGGGCGGATTGCAGGACATCGCGGACGGATAGCTCGTTCACGCAACCGGTTACGTTCAGTTCTCAGGCTTATTGGTAGCAACCCAGGGATTGTCCGTGCAGTCAAACTTGTCGTTTGGAAGCGATTTCTCAAATTTACAAGCCGCATATGGTTGTCCTGTTGACATGACGTCACACGTGGACGTCCCGCACGAGGTCGATCGCCGACGTGGCCAAACTGTTGATGTCGTCTCCACGAATCCCGGATTGTGTTTCGATGGACATGAAAACGTGTAGAGACAACGGCTTGTCCCATACCAGGTTGAAGCATACCAATAATCCGGAGGCGGTCATTTTCATTGAGCCTCGGCATAGCATTAATCACAAATTGAAACGTTATAATGCTGTTTTTACTGTTCACTGGTCTCAACAGAGTGACCCAACAGTTGAAAAATAAGATTTTATTGTCGAATTGGATGGCTGGACGAGAAAAGCGTGCAAACTGGTGAACGCCTATAGAGAGCAAACTGCACGGGAAAAACTGTCAATGACACACGGATAGTGTCTATGTGTCATACTCGGTCATGTGTGTGAATTTTCCTGTATATACAGTTGGTAATAATGTTCTATAACAATTCTCCACATGCACAGTTTCTTTTTCCGCTAGTATATGTTTCATTCATCATACATATTGCTCTATTTATTAGAGGAAACCCTTACCCAGTTGTACGGCTGTACTTGGGAACATATACATGTAAATATTGTGATGAATTATTGAAATGTGTATAAAAGTTCATTGTTGAAATCCTTGAATTATAGTTATACCTTGAAAATACCATACTTTGTAGCCTTTAAGGAAGGATGACAGACATAACATGATTTTGCCAGCAATGGAACCAGCTGAACAAGCTGTAAAACAAAAATAATACAACATTAATGTTGATTATTCCTTGATTCACTAGTATACTTGCAACACAGCAATCCTGGATTATTACTTTTTATGGAATAATTATTTAATTGGAGAATTACTAGTGGTATATTTTAAAGTCATTCTGGATCTTGTTTGAAGGGGTACAAAGTTAATGCCAATGTAAAATGCCAATTTACTCCTGGAAATTATCACACACATTTTCTTTCTAAGGAAAGTTAATAATACAATTCACCTAAAGAGAATTTCTCATGGAAGTAATTAACCTGTTTTATGTATGCATCAATATGCAGGAGGCTTTCGCTGCGACGCTCATCTAATCCCAAAGAGCAGACGAAAAGCATAATATTTCGTTGGGGATTTAATTTCGTCTATTTCGTGGTTTTATAAATCCACGAAATATAATCCCAACGAAATTTTAAGCACAC